AAGAAGCTGGCCGAGCTACAACAACAAAAGTTGGTCTTCAATTCTTCAAGCTAGCCTGCCTTTTGCTTCTTGGCCACTCGTGGAGGCTGTTGACTGTTGCATGACCGCTGGTGGACCAAAACAAAGAAGACATTCCAGTAACCTAGCACCAAACCAGGTGGAGAAATGCCACAGACTAAGTCACTGCATGGTTAAAGTTCCCCCCGAAGCATCCATGGGGTCTACAGTATTGAAGATGGATCTGGGGACCGAATTTGGCCTTGCTGGCCAGCCTGACGAGCCGCCTGTACAACATCCCGAAACGGGGCCTCCACAGCAGACCAAAAGAGCCAAGGTAGACTCTTGATGAAGGAAACACCCCATAAGATGTAGACCATCCTGGATCCCGACGGGGGTTATTCGATCCCGTCTCCAGGTGTGTGTTTTGTGCGGAAAAACATGCCAAAAGTGTGCGGCAAGCTTCCATGAAGACCGAGTAGGGTTGCGCAGGCTCCAAGTCTTTCAACGTGACAGTCAGAAAGGACTCCCATTGTCCATCTGGAGTCTCTCTGAGAATGAAGCTACAATCCTGTCGGATGTCCTTCGACTTCTCCCCATCCGACTTACGAACTTCAGCAACAACTTGAACCTGCAATCCTGCGAACGATGCAGTTTTGGACAGGGCCTCCACTGTCAAAGAAGTGGGGTGAAGTGCGGTCAAGCGCAATGTCACATCTTTCGAAGCAGCCTCTGCACTTGCAACTGGAACCTGTGCCTTGCTTGATGCTTCTTGCTTCACATCCTGCTTGATCTTGGACTCAAATTTCAGATCCTCGCTCTTTACCTTCTCTTCTTCTTTTTTGGGTGTTACCTTCGTCTTGACTTCAACTTTGGCCTTCTTTACACTCGTATTGGAGCTCGAGGAGTTTTGGGCTGGAACAGAGTAGTCGAAGTGCGGCATCAGCACCTTCTGCAAGTCAAGCAAGCCCACAGTCTCTTGGCCCAATAGAGCTTGGAGTCTCTCATCACAAAGGATTTCCCGCTTGTTTGATGGATTGATCAGATTCTGATCCTTCGAATAAGCCCATATCCTCTTCACGGTTTCTGGCCGACTCAGTGCCTTTTCACCTAGCAAACCTTGTAGCTCTTCCGACAGCGTCACAGGCCGTAGCATGGCTTCGCGGCTGGAATTGCGCCGTTTGGCGGTGACGCGGCGCTTCTTCACTCTCCTCTCAGCTTTTCCGCGCTTCTGGTGGATGGCCTCCTTCTTCACCTTCTTTTCCATCTGTTCAGCTTTGGCACGAAGGGCGATCCCTCGTTTCACCAAATCATCCACACAAGGCTTGACATCCTTCGTTTTGGCCTCACGCTTGACAGTCGCCTCTGGCTTCGTCGACTTCAAACTCTCCGACTTGACCTTCTTCTCCACTTTCAAAGGCTCTCGCTTGTGGTGGGACAGCTCGGCCTTCACTTTGCAAGCAAACTCAGACTTTGACACAACCATCTTCTCATGGCGTGACGAAGACCCAGAATCTCCGCTGTCTCTACTCTTTCCGGGATGAAATAATCATGATTAAACCTCATTTAAGAGGCGCTTCTGAGTTGTGTGCGTCTTTGACGTGTTGATCAAAGTTCATCAATTGGCCCTGGGTGTACACAAAAGATTTGGATTTTGTCCATCTTGGAGTCACTGTCTTTTGATGTCTTTTGCTATCTTTGACTGGCAGGTTTTCTGCCGACATGTGACTGGGCAGCGTTCAAATGATCTTCGTACCGCCATGATTTAGATTGATCACCGACAATTGACTAACGTGTAGGCAACCGAGAACGAAATATAACTACTTACAGTATATATGTTTTTGTTCACATCTCATGAGATGTCTTCCATCAACAGCAGCAACAACCCTTGGAATTTCTTCGTTGCAATGTGTGGTTCGGCCCAAAAAGCTTCCATCTCCAAACCGATCATGTAACAAAATCAAAAGAAACACCCATCGCCTCTCGGCCACTTGGTCTACGCTGGCCACCCTGGGCGGATCGACGCATGTCCGTGCGGATGCATCTCCGTGACCGTGACCGTGACCGATGCCGACGCATGCCGGCGGGCCCAGGCGGTCCTCGTGGAGGCTCATCCAAGTCGAAAGATCCCGATGAAAGGGTTATCCAAATCGAAAAGGCCTTCACCGTACACCCGTGCGGCGGAGAGAAACCTCCAGGCGGCGGCGGAGATTCACCTCCCCCCCCGACGCGAACTGAACTCCCTCCCGTCTTGCTGAGGCCAGCAGCGACTTTGGTGCTTCCAGTGCTTCCGGTCCTCCTCAAGCTGGCCAACGCTGGGGAAACAGTTTGAAGCCACTGCATCATCTGCATTCAAAGTTTCAAGCCAATGCATCCAAGTGTCTCCTCTGATCCTCAGTCCAAGACTTGTGGAACGAGTCTTAACATCAACTTAGACCATCGTAGGTCATGCGTCCACGTCGTTCGGGGAACAAAAGGATCCCGGATCCCGACCAATCCCCCGCTGGTGGCCAGCAGCCAGCGCGGCCGAGAATCAATGAAACTCCCCACAAAAACGATACTGTTCAACCATGTTCAACCCATGAATGGGTTGAGGGGGGGTGATTCAAAAACCGTCAGCAGTCAACATTATTGGATGGTTGATGATGGTTGTAGTGGGTGGCCATGGTTACAGCTCAAATCGTCCCATCTCCCCCAAGCATGCCTGGCCTTTGCTGCCTTTGCGAGCACCCAGCGGGGGCAGCGTCTGCCTCCGTGCTGAGGCGAGTGAGGCTGGTACCGAACTCCCAAGGTTTAGGACTGGTGGGTTCGTCATCCCCTCTGTCTGGACATCGAGAACGAAAAGAGTCTCCTTTGGTTCTTCTTTGGAACTCCGATCTCTGATCCATGAGAGCGACCAGCCACCCTCTTGTCGGTACAAGAAAGAAAAATGGACATCTCTTTTCTGTCGTCCCGTCTTGGAGCCATTCCAAAGGTGGCGCGTTCTTGATGCATTCTTGACTTGTTCAAGTTCTAACAAGCTTAATTACTGACGGTTTTTCACTTTGCACATGTCAGAACCATACAAGCAGTATTTATCTTCGGTTGGCAGCAGCCTCGAGTTTGCCATAAGCTGACATCAGAATGCAGGCACAATGCAGGCTAAAATCCAAACGCAATCCAGTCTTGCTTTGACCCTAGGTAGACCAAAACTCTGCACTCTTTGCATGTTGCATCATTCTGCTCGTGCAATCTCGTGAAGGAAGAGTCACGGGAGGAGGTGATGTAAACACCTACGGGAAAGCTCATGATCAGGGTCTGAGCCTGAGCCACTGATTCTCAGCCAGAAACTGGTGAGTCTTGTTCCCTAGTCCACTCTGTGCGATGTTTGTCCCACGTTTTCAGCGAGAATGCTAGTGAATGTCGCATCTGTGAGTGCCATGGGCCATGCCATTGATTCTTCATGAAGATGCTCAAGAAAGAGAAGCTCAGCAAGTTAGATTGGGAAGCTAGATAAGGCGCAGGGCTTGAAGTGACATTTTCTTCAAAGCATCTTTGGCTGTGAGAATATTTGGCACAAGGCATGGGCTAAAGCAAGAAGTCTCTGTAGCCTTGCTGCCTATCTTTCGAGGATAGATTGCTGATCTGAAAATAGATGGAGCTAAGAATAGCACCTGATGGCACATTAAGTGTTGCAAGTGGACTCGGCATGGTTGGGTTCAGTGCCGTAGTATATTCTTGAGCTGGCGTTGGTTTAGGCATCGGCTCAATGATGGGCATTCGCCCTAGATTCTCAATCAATTGTAGAGGCCGATTGCCATCCACACGCTGCAAATACTCAACCACCCGATGCTCATAGTCCCATTGCGCCATCTTACGGGTCAGAAAATCCTCATCAATGTCGGTTTCCCAGGTTGGATTCTCATGCAGAATAGGTCCACGAATCCTCAGTATGATCTGGTCCTCGTCCGACCATGGATATCCACCGGGGCCATTGGGTTCGCTTGGGCTCTGGTGACTTAACTTTGGCATATGCGCGAGGTTGGTCGCCGCCTTGTCAACTCGTCTCAGAAGTACTTGTGCAACTTGCAGTGCATTCAAGGCATTAACCGCTAGAGCTCTGGCAATGTTTGAGCCATGTTCGAACTTGCTCGCAAGCTCTGACAACTCTTCGCACTCGCCCGTCGCCTCACAAGGGGCTGCAGGCCTGGACTCTGCTTCAACACAAGCATTTGGGCTATGATTTTCATCGCCTGGCACTCCGGTCATCAGTGCCTTACTGCCAAACACGCCATATCGGCTGGCCATGGTGGGCACACCTGGTGGCAAAGCTTCTCCAACAATCGTCGGCTGTGGTGGCCTCAGGGTGCTGTACCACTTCACAAAGTCATCTTCGGACAGCGTCTGGGGGGATTCGCCCATGCCCAGCAGGTTCGCAAAGAAAGCCCCTGCGGTTCTCCCCATTGGGCGGATCAGATCGGCTTAGAAGCTGACCACTGGATGGCTTGAGACAGCGGCCACAGCGGAAAAAGAGGTATTGACTAGACTTAGATATGATAAAATATTGTTTGAAATATGATGTGACTCCCTCTCTCTCTCTCTCTCGACAAAAAATATACAAAAAAAACATGCCAAACGTGGAACCAATTTGAAGAAACGCAGGCATGTCGAATGTGGGGTGATGAGACAGCCAAACAAACGGAGATCTGTTCAAAGCGTCACCTTTTCTCTAGGAGGACTCCCATGAATTGAGAAAGCAAATAGTGGCAATCCTCACGGGGATGGTTACAAGGCTATGTCTGAAGTCTTCAGCTCCACTGGGTGACCACAAATTGGTGTTCAGATGTGCGAGGCCCTTCGATCCGACTCGGTGGCTTTTGGGGTCGCGCGGGTCGTGGTCGCGGCACGTGTCGCGGGTCGTGTCGCCGCACGGTGCAAGCGGGCTCGCGACGTCCTCGCCATGTGCACGCCTGCGGTCCCTCCCCCTGGTTCCTGCTCAGCCACCTATGATCCCCCCTGCGGTCCCCTCGTGGTTACTTACCATCACTTGACCTTCCTAAAGCTGTGACACCCGGTCCAACATGGTCAAACCAAGTTCTGCTGGGCGACAAGCGAAAGGGCGAGGGACGCCCAGAGGAAACGGTGAAACGTGCGGCCACTGGTCAGCGACCTTCGGGCATTTCCTGCCCTCAAAGGCCTCCTCTCAGCGCCGCTGAACTTCTGGTGGCCTGCCCATTGTAGGGTCCAACCTCACAACTGCAAGCAAACTTTATAGGCAACCAGGTGCGTTCCTCGACTGAATAAACTTGACCTGGTGGCTTAGTGGCTTGCTCTTCAGAAACACACGCGCGAATTCACATACAAATCGCATACACCCATATCACTCATGGGATTTCAATGGATCCCATAGGGGTTCGACGAAGGAATGGTTTCGTTCGGACCTCTGAGCCCTCCGACCACGGAGAGGCACAAGGGGCAGCGGTTCTGATGGCCCAGCCTGGGCGACACGGCGATGCACAGCGAACGGACTGGCAACAGTGTGTCTTCCTCATGAAACAACAACTGCCGTTTTTCCTTGATACCAAAATCCTCAAAATCCCTCTTGAACAACTTGCTAAATGAGGCCAAATGAGAGTCTGTGTTCCCGGCAGCCACTCGTCAACGCACTCCCTCAGCATCGCACTAGCTCGATATGCCGCCATGCTCGTTGAAGACCAGATTCGTCAGATTTGCTGTTGGAGGCTCAGAGTGGGGCTGGTGAAAGTGATGCTGACAGCTAAGCTTTCGAATCTCCTCACTGAACGGCGCCAGACTTGCGCCTCTTGAAATCTTCCCGGTGTGTGTGCCAGACCGGTTGAAGCTTGGAGGCAGGAAGCAGGCTCAGTAGATCTATATATGTCATAATATAGATCTGTTGCAGCATCTTAAGATCTGCTAAGAAGGTCCACCTTCCACCAACTCCCGCTGACTTTCTCGCAGCTCCTCTCCCTCCTCGTATGGACCAAAGCAAATGCTGCAGTCCGAATCACCTCGGGCACGGGCGTGCGGGCCAGCGCTTTGCGAGCGAGCTTGGCGAGCGAGCGTTGCGGAGTTCCAATTAATTGGTGCAAGGGAACATCTACGGAAAACCATGGTTTTCACTTTCACCCTAAAAAAATGGGTTTCCTGTAGAGTTCCCCTTGAACCAATTCTGGGAAAGAAAGCAGCACACAAAATTGGCCTCCCAATTGCAAGCCGCTTCGAAACCTGCAAGGCTCAGCTGCCACGAACAAGGCAGGCTCATGCCACTAGGTTTGTTCTCATAGTATTTCGGAACAAGACCCCTGACTCTGCCATTGCATGCACAGCAAAGGGCTAGTGAGTGCCGGACCGCAGTCAAAACATGGCGGGCACACACTGTGCGCTTGCTGTACTTCTCAAGCATATCTTGAGGAATGCCACGCTTGAAATCCGACTTCATCAAGTAGTAGAAGAGCAGGACACAAAGTATCTGTGAGAGATGCCACACAAAAATGCAAAATGTTCCAGCAAAAAGATGTGTCATGGAAAGTGCATGGAAGAACAATCCTTGACTTGATCCTTTCGGGGCACTCTGTGGACCACGATGCTGATGAAGTTGAAGAGACAATGTCTCCAAATGGCGTGCGTGAAGTCTGATTCCTGCGAAGTTCATCATCAAAGCATCAATCAAATCGGTTCGCAAAAGTTCGCACCACTTCATGCTACAGTTACAGTGACTCTAGATTCCTGGCAAGCCGCTGAGGTTGAGCAGGGGTTGAACCACAGCCAATGCAATGTGTTGGTATGGCGCGTGTTTCAGGATGTCAAGAGTCAACAAAGAAACACTACTGTAAAGTTTCCTCACGGTCTTCCAAGCTGAACTCGCTTTGGGATCTATTTGCCGGTGATTGTGGACATAACGTCAAATCGCTGGCCTCCGGGTACAATCGGAAGATGAAAGCGACAAGCGATACTGCAGCCAACCTCACGTGCGCGCTTCCCAATTGTAAGATTGCACAACATGGCAAAAATATGCAAAAAAAAACATTGCCATCAGAGAGAAACTTCCGACTTCTGGATCAAAGGAGTGGCTGAGGCGGCCATGTAGGGTACGCTTCACATCAAATGGCACACCATGTGCCATGCGAAACGTGCGTCGGACGTTTCTGTGGAGTCGGACGCGACAGCTGCGACAACAATAGTTGCCAATCAGGGCGAGGTGAGAGGTGATTTTAAAAAGAAAAAGTGAAATCAAAACAAAGACCCCTACAGAAAAGAATATGGAAATATATCTTGAACAGAGTCCAGCATAGATTTCGAGGGAAAAGTATTCAAGAAAAGCATGTCTACAGAAAGCAAAAATCGTCCGAGAAAAGCATCGAAAGGCTGAGCTGCCTTGGCACGGCAAATGTGTATAGAAAACACCAAGTATTCGTCAAACATTGCAAGAGTAGTCATAACTTCACTTGCTGTCCTTGAAGAAACGCATTGACACACGAACCAAGGGGCTTCAGAGGAAGAATGCTTTCGGTCCCACAATCGAAACGCTCGTCTGCCGAGTCCCTAAGCTTCGCGCCATCCATAGTAGAAGAGCAAAAGGGCCTTCTCGATGCCTTAATTTGGCGAATTCAGGAGACCCATCTCGCCCCATTTCAACACACGCTCATTGAAGCCAAGCACCAACAGAACGACCGACAGAACGGTGCTTAGCACTTTGAAGCGAAGCACGAAGAAGGTCAAGCGCTTTGCCAACGCCGCCGACGGGTACCAAGGCCGCCCACCGAAGGGATTGCCGTACACGTCCAGCAGGCTCCGGGTCACCAGCTGCGGAGTTGGTTGATATCTGGCCTTTCCATCGCGAGCGCGGTCGGTCACCGATTGACAGTCGCTGACAGTCGAACAGGTGAACAACAGGTGAACAGGTGGGGTGGTTTTTGAAGGTTCCACCCGAAGGTCGTTTCCCTTTACTTGTCCCTTCTCCTTCTGTACCTTCCTTGTTTCCCTTCTCCTTCTGACCCAGGAGTTTTCGGAGTCCTTTTCTGTTTTTTCTCTTGGGTGTGCGAAGACCAACCACGCCTGAACGAAGAGACGTCGGGTCCGAATCCAGAAGTAGGGCCTGACCCGTGCAAAAGAATAAAGGGAAACAAATATAGTATATTTATCAGTATAAAAGGCAAAATAAGGGACACAAAGGTCAAGTGTTCAACAACACGTGCAATTGTTCAACTGAAACTACAATGCATTTGGGACTCCTTAAGTTTCCCTAAAATCTAGGAACCAAATCACTAGTGCGAGCGCTTCTTCAAGGAAGCGCGAGCTATCCTGCGTCCATACTAGTACCTACCTAGCTACTACTGGCTGCCTCTAGCTGCTAGCTATCTCACCTCCTAGCGGCATACCCCCTTTTCTAAAAAGGCTACTGGCTGCATCAGCTAAATGTTGAACCCAACTTCCTTCCATCTCGGCCTTGGGACGGCACAGGCAATTCGAGCCAAGCACAAGAGGCGAAGCAGAAAGTCTGTGTGGTCCTTGCAGATCACGACCCCTCCGACGGTCTCCCCAAACCGTACTAGTAAGGCACTTGTTACTAGTAGCGATGCACTTGTTCCTAGTAGCTTAGGGAAAATAAAAAAACACTCTAGAACACCCTCTTTTTTGTTTTGGTGATGTCCATGTAGGAGCTGCCTCTGCTGCTTTTTGTTCTGGTTCATCTGAAGAGAGGTTCCTCTGGTGGTTTGAAAAAGTGCAACAAGAAACGGGCTGATCCCCAAAGCGAAAAAGCTGCTCTTGGGATGTTGATGCAAACCATGCCAAACTAGTTTTGTGCAGCCCATGGACTGTATTCTTGGGAACTTGCGATCCTTGACTCAAAAGAAAAACCAGAAACGCAGAAACACCAAAAACCATAGATATGTATATACTGTACATATTTATATATATATATGATGCAAAACATGGAACAACACTCTCGTCGTGACTTCGTCTCGCTCCTGGGATCCCCAAAATCTCCAAACCAGAATCCAGCAGTGAAGCACCTGGCGACATCTGAACACCATGTGCTACGCGCAAAAACACCAAAGTGAAGCGCCATGTGCATCATCATATTCTGTGCGCTTCTGATAGTTATTCATTCCGTTGTTGGATGCAAAAAAAAACACCCAAACCAGGCCCACACCAGGAAGCAGCTACAAACAATGCCCAGTTCAATGCCACGTTGCCTCAGCGCGATCGCCGGCGCGACGGCCGCCCCGGGTCTTTGCTGTGTGCCATCGGCGCTCGGTGCCCGACATCACCGCGGCGGACTCGTGTGGGAAGAGAGTAAACCTCAGACGCTATTTGAACCAAGAAGCTACTAGTAACAGGTGCCACGCTAGTAGTAACAAGGACGCTAGTAGTAACAGGTGCCACGCTAGTAGTAACAAGGACGCTAGTAGTAATTAACAGGTGCCACGCTAGTAGTAACAAGGACGCTAGTAGTAACAGGTGCATCGCTAGTAGTAACAAGTGCCTTACTAGTAGTAACAAGAAGCTATTAGAACCATCGAGCGACGCTTCTCCCGCCCATCGCTCGGCGACCCGGGCATCTCTGCCATCGGCGACTCTTCCGCGTCCTGGCGCCACCAGCGCGACGGAGCGATGTTCCGCAGCGGAGCTCCCTGGTTTAGATGGATTGAGTCTGGTGTTGATTTTCCCCGTGGTCCTTGGCATATTCCAAGGACCACACCCACAGGCCCAATCTAGATGGTCAGGGGTCCAGGAGGGTCCGCCTGCTTCCACCTCTTTCCTGCAGCAAGCAGTGGGCCCGACCCAAAGCATAGATATGGTCCAAATCCCCCGTGGGTCCTTTGAGAAATTTCGTGGATACTGAACTTCGTTCCATTTGTCCCCAAATAGTTTATCTTCAGCTTCTGATCTGAGGGAAGCTACCAGAAATTCGGAAAGTGCCAGACCTTCCAACAGAAATTCGCTTCACCGCCGGTTGGAAGTGAGGCAAGACGGGGCCCTGAGCTGTGGCGAAAAGCCACGACACCCCCCAAGGCAAGCACATGCAGGCTCCCTGAAAATGAGGAAAGTGGAACATGTGGAACTGTCAACACCAAACTGAGCTACCAGTAGGGTCAAAACCCGAACGTGACACAATGAATCCTTCTCTGCAGGTGCACGCACTTGCAGTCCGCATGCTTGAGACTGGTGGATTTTATAATCAGTACTTGACAGTAACTAGTACGGTACAGTACTTGCATGTACTTGCTTAAGCCTTTCCATGCTGCTTCCCATCCCCTTTTCTTTTCACCTCTCCATGTTTCCCCACGCGCCAACCGCCGCCAACCGTCGCTCCATGGTCTCGGAGGAGGACGCGTCGAGAAGACCGGCTTTAAGCCTTGGGCACGGGGCGCTCGACCGGGTCAAGCAGTGTGGGAGGAGGTCCCAGGAGGTCCCAGGAGGTCCCAGGTGCGAAGAACGTGACTCCCCCTGGGTGGGAGTAGAAAGAAGCCACGGAAGCTTGAGCTAGCAACCAATGGGCGTTCTTTTGCATTGTTTTTTTCAAATGTCTGCAATCTGCAGGGCTGGGAGTGTTTTCCAGGGCTGGGAGACTTGGAATGTTTCTAAGATACCCCGAACGTGATTGACCTGGGACAGTGACGCCATCCACGCCCTCGCTCACGCCCACGCTCACGCCCACGCCCGGGTGCGGGACCGAGTTCGGCTGTGTCTGGGGTCTCGAAGAAACCGAAGGCCTGTGGCCGATGCAGCGCATGAACTGGCGCCTTTCGTGCAACTTGAAGCTGGAAAGCCAAGAAGCCACAGTTCACAGGTGGGGGGTGCAGGTTAGTCTTCCTGGTTCGTCTTCATGGACTCCATGAGATCATCCATGAAAATGGGTGTCCCAAGTCTGTAGTACGGAAATAGATGTGCAAGATCTGATGTGCTGAAGATAGGGCTTCCCGACATGTTGCCGCACGCGTATGGCTTCAAGCAGGAAACATGTGTTTTTACAACTCTCTGGCTTTGCCGAGTACAGAGTCTGGCTAAAGCGGCTAAACGTCTCGTGGAAAGCATCTGAAATGAATGTCCTCCTTGCAGGCTGATTGATCTGATTCATCTGGCGTCGCCTAATACCCAAAAAAACTCATGGCTGTCTGTCACGCGTTGCTCTCCGGCACCAAAGAGCCGGAGTTAAGGCCGAAAGACGTCCAATGGTTCCAAAGTCAACTTCCAAACTGAAGTGTCCAATTTCAGGAGCAGAGCCATATGACTGCTATCAACATTAAACTAAATATGTGTGTTCACCGTTAACTGTTGGGAAGCACATATTGCAGCCGGCAGCTGTTGAAGGATGAACGCGCTTGGACCAGCCGTTGGCCAAGGCGAAGAAGGCCATTCGATTCACCCAAGGAGCACTGGATCAACTGGCGAGTTCCTGAAACACTCAACTCGCCAAGCCTGATCAGATTTCTTAAGCAAAAACCCAGCCCATACTTGATACCAAAGCTGCTCACAGAATGTTCGTGGGATCAAACAGCAGCGCGCAATTCTTCTCTGCTCTGTTAAACTGTGAGAAGTACCTCTGCCAGCTCAACCCAGCCACTTCAAATGCTGCGGAGCTAATTACGGCTGAAGCTCCTAAGACTCTGCAAAGGAAGCCTTGCACATATGGCCGAAACATTCGTGAGTCTGTAGACCCACCGGATAAAAGGCAGGCTTGGGCAATTCTCCAACACCTTTGTTAACACCTTTATTAACACCTTCATTACCCCTGGTTGCAAAGAATGACAGCCCCAACCCTGGTCTCAGGGGTCTACACGCGCAAGGCGCCAAAGACAGCAGTTCAGGCGCTAACAAATTCTCCGCCCGAAGTCAGCTAGTTCCAATGAACCCCTTGCAAAAACTAGGCCTCTATACATTCGCAGTGTCCAGCACCGCCCTCTGGTAGGTGGTCATGGCACCAACCCAAACGCATCACACTTGATGTTGGAGGAAATAAGCTGTTGAATCCAAGAGTATTGTGCTGGAACACCGCAGGGGGGAAGTGTTCATGCTGCCACTGTGGGATTTGCAAGCTATGTACTGGTCACACACTTCTGTACACGCCACCGAGGAGCAACATGCGTCTTTGATGTGCCTGATGTCCTCTTCTTTAAACTCTGTGAAAGCCCACGCGTCATGCGCTTAGATCCTTGGAGCTTCCTCAGCCACGCAAGGCCAACTCAATAGTCTGGAGGATAGCATCCATGCTCTTCGAAATAGCAAGCATCCTCCTCGGCTTCATCGTTCGTCAAAAGTAGTGTGCTCATGCGTGTTCTCTCTGCCGCGTTGCTTGGATTCCCCAGATCCAGGGCTCACCCCTAGCATACCACATCCAGAAATGAAATCTAACAAAAAGGAAACACAAGAAAGACATCTCTGAAACATCCAAGAATCCTGAAAAAGTTCTGTGAGATACTCGTCTTCGGGATCGTGGGACACTTTGGATGCCACTGGAAGGAGCAGTCGCACCGTCTCCAGCAACCCGAGCGCCTCCTCCGCGTCCAACTCGTGGCCTCACAGGCGGAAACGGCCAGCCAGGAGCGCTCCAAGCCGCGCGGGCCGCGCGGCGTTCGGACCCGGAGCGGGGGGGCATTTCAGGCCTTCGGGTCCCCGGGAGGGGAACCAAACCTTCGAGCCAGCCATCCCGCCCATGGCGAACCTCGCCCAAAAACAGCATTGCAGCGGTCGAAATACATCGAAACAACGAACAACGGCTGTGACTGGGGCCTAGCTAGGTAGGTCTCAAGAGGCATCCACGTGTCAGCACGACCCTGACTCACCAAGCGAATAACCACCACCACTAGAGACCAACCCTTCGGCAATCGTCTGCTCTAGTGGTGAGGGGATGCCTTTCTCTTTGTTGTGAGTTTCCAGTATTCCAGTATGTGAAAAAACTGTTTCAATCATGTTTGATCGGAATGTTTGATCGGAATTGTGTTAAAACAAAAAACTGTCCAAATCTACCATTCAAAAGCTCAACTAACTGGCATGTATCTGCGTGTCCTCAAGGCTGCTACGTCAGACACAAGTTGGAAATGAATATGCTCTATATAAACAGATTGGAAACCGATTTCAAATCCATATTAGAATGTTTTTTGGGGAAACAAATGAGCAATCAATATGTTAAGTCAAAACAAAAAGCGGATGTCAATTGGAAACAAGTTACAAATATTTAAATACTATTGTCGAATTGGTGTAGCGGCTCACGAAGTCCACTGCAAGGAAAAAGTGGTGCACGAACGAGTTCGAAACACGGGTGGCAACCTAATGCCGCGGCCGCAGCTATTTTGCGCTTTGAGCCCGCCCTCTGTCGAGCGGATGTCTAAGGTCCAGGCCAAAAAGAAACGTGACATGACATGTCAACTTGATGTTCAGCGAACATCTTCACACGGGGGTGTTGTTCACCCTTCAAACCTAAGTCGGCCGCCAAGGGTCGGCATCTGCCAACCAAGCTTCCAGCTCCCGCCTCAGCGTCGTGCCGCTGTTGTCTTCCACCCGGTCCGGTGGTGGGCGCAAGGAGGCGCAGTATGCACATGCTCTTCGGGTCATCAGATGGGAGGTGATCTGCCGCACAATGTGGCAGGTCTCGTGGTGCCAGCACTCTCCTGTCGAGGCCGTCATGATTGGCCGGGTGAACGGGCAGAGGGAGGAATGCAGGTCCATCTCCATGATGGTGTTCCAGATCAGGCGTGACCATCAGTGGTCAGTGCCCGAAGGTTCACCACTTCATCATTCTGGAGGTTCAGGGCGGCTCTTGACTCTCGTGCCGAGCGTAGGGCTTCCTCAGCACGAATCTTTTCTTGTTCAAGCAGATCTCTCAGCCTCTGGTGGACGATAGGCTCATTCTTTTGAATCTCAACCTCTTTGGTCTTGGGCTTCGGTGCAGTGTCGGTGTTGCAACTCCATCGGCCGGCCATGAAGATGCCGGTCATGACTATGACGTGGATCAGGGCCAAAATGGCGAGCCACATCCATAGGTGTTCGTTGTTTTCTTCTTTCTCTTCTCCCTTTTCACACTGCTGGCCTTGTGCCATAGCCAGCAAAGAAAGCACCAGTAGTGCCAGGAGGGCATTCGGCATGCGACCTGTCAGGTTCTTCTTCTTGGAACAGCTGCCGCCATGGCTCATGGCGAAGACATACGTGAGGGCCTTCGCATTCTGTGCAAGGTAGGCGGTGGCAGGAGTCTCTTCAAACTTTTGCTGTTCCTCATACTCAAAAATCTCTGGGTACTCAGCCAGGTTGACGTTCGCAGGAGTGGGCTCTTCTGCGGGGACAAAGGGCTCTGCAGCAGCGTCGTTGGGCAAGGTCTCCAGCTGGGTCGTTTCAGCTATGGCCTTTTCTTTCTCTTTCTTCGACTTCTTCTTGGAGGCCACATAGTTTGGATCCCAGGTGAGCTTCAAGCGACGATGCCGGAGGCGAGCAGCGAGTAGTGTCCTTGCGGACTCTTTGGTGAGTCCGTCGGCGATTTGCCGTTCTGAGCTCATCCATCGTAGTCGACCTCCCAGCTCCTCCATCATTTCTTTCATCACACGGATCTCCAGGCTGACTCGTTTGTCAACCACGGAAGAGCTGACCCCTTCCCTGTGGTAAGAGTCGTAGAGGGCTTTTGCGTCTGTCACCATCGTCGGCACCAGTGTTGATGGTGCCTTGAGCAGCTCCTTCAACTTGAGGTCGGGGTGCATGAGGGCATGCCAGTATCGACATGTGAAGTCGATGCTGTCTGCAGCTTGACCGCCAGCCTGGGCTTCGGCAGCCAGTGAACTCCTCGTGACTCGAGGCGTGCGGAAACTTCGCCAGTCCAGGACATGGTATTCCCCGTCCTCGCCTGAGGTGAACAGCTGCTTGTTGACGAGCATCAGAATGTAGCCACCTTGTGAGCTTCCATCAGCACGAGCCGTGAAGCCAGCATCAAAGAAGCATAGCAACTGTAGCTCCGATGGGTGGCCGATGTAGTTGTAGAAGAGGCTCACGTCTTTGTGATCCTTTGCAAACTTCAGGAGCTTGTTGCGTTCTGCGATGGTGTTCTTTGTGGCTTTCGTGATCTGACCGGAGAGCATCGAGGTGGAGCATTGCAGGTGAGGAGATGTCTGCACAGCGGGCCACTGCATCGATCCCAACAAGCCTCTGACCTGAGTGATCTCTCGGTCATTCAGTGGCTCATGAGGGTTGTGGTTCTTGTGGATCGTGATGGGCTTGACCTTGCTGAAGTAGTTCTCCTGATGCAAGCGTCTCCCCCCCTTCAGGAGTTTTCTCGAGCTCGCAGCCACAGTATTCCAGCTTTGGAAGGTCTTCTTTCCACTCTCTGAAGGAGAAGTTGGCGCGAAGGAGGTCAGTCACGGCCTTGTAGCGTGGTGACTTTGGGCAACCTGCTCCAAGCATGTCATCGACGTGCATGATGACCATACCACACAACTTCTCTGGGCCAAGGGTACTTGTCTCCTCATGGATGGGGTCGTTCTCGTTGAAGTGGTTGTCGTCCTTTTCGTAAATGAGGAAAGCACACGGGTCCAGAGGATGTTGGCGAAGACCTGCTCGAAGGAGTCGGTCAACAGCTTCAAGAAACCAACCTCTTGGAGCGTCGGTTTGACCATAGCAGGGCTTCAGTAAGAGCATCCTAGTGTCTTCTGATGCTCCAAGCAACTGCAAGGCTTCGGAGGGAAGCTTGACCCACAACTTTCGGGTCTGAGGTCTGCCCTGCAAGAACGCTGTGCTCACATCGGCAGTCCAGGTGGGCCACTGCATGTTAGCAGCCAGGGAGAGAACCATGGATCGTGACAACCTGGTGGTCGTTGGAGACGAAGTGGTGATGGCGCCAGCCAGTGCATCGGGATCGTTGAAGCCTCTGACAATCAGTCGGGCCTTGGCTCTTGGGCTTCCATCTTCGTTCTTTGACCACTTCAGGAGGATCCTGGATGTCAAAGTCCTGGACTCATCTGCCTCAGCCGTAGTTTGGAATGCCCACACGCCATGGTCGAAAAAGGACTTGAGTTCCTTGACCTTGGCTTCCTTGAACAGAGCTCGTTCTTGTGGTCCAAGAAGTCTTTCATTTGCTCCTCCTTTGTCTTTCTTGACCTTCTTGTTGTAGGCCTTCTTCTGGTCCTTGGCGACTTGGCGAACACTTGTGTGAACAGTGTGCGTGCCGGTATACATAGCCATCTCTCGCCTGGTATCACCTGTGAGTTGAAACACCGTAGTTCCGGTCCAGGTGCCAGAGATGCCTTCAGGAGGAGTAGTCGTCGTTCCATCATCGGTGAACAGTCGGCCTTTGCCGTCAGCTTGGTGCACCATTGTGATCTTGATGTGGTCGAGCTGTTCAAGCTGGACAGGGCAATCTTTAGGAAGATGCTCAATGTGCATGCGACCTCGGCGAGGGATCAAATGATGCCTCATGAGGCAGCCAGCTTTCAGCTCCCAGTAGTCCGTGACACGATCATCGAGCTGCAGGTAGCCATGTTCATCCATGTGCCAACCAGTGGGCAATGCAGCGGTGTCAAGATTCTCCAAGTAGAATCCTTGGCCAGCAAGCTGTTCCGCTGGTGGTTGTGGTACGTTTGGCTGTTCTGCGCTCGCGTGACTTGTGTTGGCCGTGTCATCGTAGGGCGCAGGCCCGTGAGTACGGCGATGCCGGAAAGGTGCAAAGCTGAGTGTCTCTTGTCTGTTGATGCGCAAACGCTGTTGCTGGAATGTCTCTGCCGGTGCCGGTTCGTAGAGTGCTGCTGTTGCAGGATCCAGCCTGGGTTGTGATTCCCCTGCTGGTGTGTGAGGCGTTGTTGTATAGCTGCAGGAGGTTCCTCACTTGGTTCCTGACTCGGTAAGGACAGTCCGTCCTCATCATCTGGAACTGCAGGCGGTTCCTGGGATGCCTCTGCAACTGGGCCTTGATCCAGAGCAGTTGGTGCCGTGGGCTGCTGTGGTTCTGCTGGTGCTTGTGGTTGTTCTGCGGATGCTTGTGTATTGGCAGCAGCCGGGATCGGTGGATCCATGGTCAGTCTTGGACGCTGCCTGGGAGGTGCCATCTCATGTTCAGACTCCGTGTCAAGTGTGGAGCCTTCACCATGCTCATCTTCCTCGACGTCGGCCAAGTTCTGCCGATTGGAGCGCTGCAGGTCGTAGAACCGAGTCACACCTCGAGAACGAAGTTGGCGCACAGTGTTGAGAGCCTTCTGGGTGTCGTCAATGGCATGGTCGAAGCTCTTCACATCAGCACGGACGTGGTGAGGTGCACAGCGAATCAACTGAGACTTGAATGCCAGCCAGTAAACTGATACTGGTCCATCCGCTTCACCTTCAACCGGAGGTCGTCTCTCTTTCATCACCACCTGAGCAGGGCCAAGCCAGCGGATCTTGACGAGATCTGGTTGTCGTGCATCACGCCAAAACCAAACTTGTTGTCCCAAGGCATACTCAGCATTGGTGCCCTTGTACTTGAGGGTCAAAGCACGACGCAAGCGACGGTCAGCGTCGGCATCATTCAGGGCTTTGCGAGCAGCATGACGCTTGGCCAGCATGTCCTCGAAGGTCTGGTTGCCGCCGACGTGGGACGGTTGAGTGGCATCAGACAGCAAGTCACCAGCCAATGACGGCTGATAGCCCAGCACCCATTGAGACGGCGAGAAACCAGCAACGCCAGGAGTGCTATTCATCTGTGGGATGATGTAGCTGAGTGCTTCTTGGATGCCTGAAGGTCCGTCGGCAGACATGTCATCAAGGTAGACCTCGACAGACTTTCGGATCACTGCATGGCGGCGTTCCACCAAAGCCAGGCGTTCGTGAGCTTCACCTGGGGCAACTGAGTGCTTGATGCAATGTGCTGCAGTCCATTCATCCATTTGATTGCTCAACCAGCCACGGCCTTCGTCGGTGAGCAAAGTGGCAGGTGGCCCAAAGTGGGCGATCCAAGCACGCTCAAGTGCCTTGATGTAGTTGTCGGTGTGCTCGGAGTTGATCAGAACTGCTGCAGTGTAGCGCGTCGCGCTGTCAACCAAGCTCATGATGGCATACTTGATGGTGCCACGCCTTAACCACATCACATCGGCTTGGAGGACATCGTTGAAGTTCAGCACAGTGGGCATAGCAGCTGGTGCAGCTTGTGATGGCTTCTTGTATTTGGCACAGGCAAAACATCTGTACGATCTTGCTGCTTGCAGGACGGCTTCAGAAGCGCCACGAGATTCCAGCAGTTCGACCAGAGCAGCCGGTGCAGGATGGCCAAGATTCCAGTGGAGTCGTTGAACCGTGCGGACGGCATCTTGTTTGGTGTGACTTCGAAGTCGTATCAAGGAGCTTGTTGTCTCCTTTTCATCCTCGGCGGCATGTCCAGTTTCCCATTGGATGGGAGGTTCATCGACTGCCAGTGCTGCAGCCAGGGTCGCAGCCAGTGCAGGCTGGTACTCTTCAAGATATCGGGTGCGAGATCCATAGCCGGGTGCAGCTCCCTCCAAAGGACAATGTTCATGATCGTGCTGACACTGGAGGGTGAAAGCATCTTGGACGGCCTGTTTGGTCGTGAGGAAGGTGGTGTTCTTCTGAACTGGTTTCCAAATGCCATCATCATCTAGGCATTGTGCTCCATAGCGGCACTGGGAGAAGTCGGCTCGTCGGCCGGGAAGATCACGTAGAGCTCGGGTCTGCCAGGAGAGTGCGTGCTTTGGCTGCTCGATGGTGGCGTGTCGACCACCCTTCACCTGACAAAGGTAGCTCCGTCGGGTGAACATGAGATGCCGTTCGTGACGTCGATGTCGAGCGGCCTTCAAAGCTTCTTTCTGAGCAGGTGTCCGACGGCCTAGTGACTGCATGCGACTCCATAGCTTGCATTCAGGTGCAATGAGCAGCTCATCAGGCGCTTCTTCTTCAAGTAGGGCCAGGAACTCATCTTGGTGTCTGAGCTGTTCGAAGTCCCAGCCAGTGTCATAGGAGAAGCAGCGGACTTCCATGCCCAAAGATTCAGCCACTTGCGCTGTTCGCGCTTTGCCACAGTAGATCTCCCATAACAGTCGAGGTCGTTCAGGCTGATGTAGTTCCTTGGTGACATAGGCAGACAGGTCGTTGAGCTGTGTGGTGAGGTGGACATCCATGGTTTTCAGCTCATGCCGACGGAGAGGCTTTGTCTTCCCTTCATCAACGAGGTCAGCCTTCTCGAACGCTGAGAAACCGCTTTCGGCCAGCATGAAGTCGTTGAGCTTGTAGTCATCATCTTGCTCGATCCCTTGGTCGTTGGTCCTCAGGACAAACTCAGGTCGCTCAGGGTCGTAGTTGATGCTGAGGTGCTCATTGGTGAGTGACCAGAGGTATTCACCTTGTCTTCCCAGGGTGGCAGGCATCCATGGTGAACTGCCGATCCGGAGTCGCCTCTGGGCGAAGTCCATGGTCATCCCAAGTGCTTCGATGATCGGACGGCCACAGAGCATTGGCGTGTTGCCAGGCAGCAGGAACAGTTCGATGGTGCCGTACTTGCCATCCACAAAGGTGGGGGTGTGAGCAGACCAATCGGACCACATCGATGCATCGCCTCCGAACTGGAAGCGGCGTCGGCCTTTGCTCATCTTGATGACCTCAATGGGGAAGTCCAAGGTGCTCAAGTGATCGAGGTATCTTCGGAAAGGCCCATAGCCAGACAGGAAGGCGCTTGCTCCAGGGTCAAGCATCACACATTCTGGCCTTTCCGCACCATTGGAGTCCTGGAAGATCAGGAGTGCGCTCTCATCAATCTTTCTCTCCAGGGCCATGGCCTCGGTCGTTGACGATGCCGGGCGTTTGGCAGCAGGAGTGCGTGTAGTTGGGCTCGATGAACTCTGCGGGCAATTTGCTGCCCAGTGGCCAGCTTGGCCGCAGCGAAGGCAGGTCATGTTTGCTCTTGCACGCCCTTTTGGATCTGCTTTGCCAGCTCCTTGAGGTGGATAGCGGATCGTGGTCTTTGACTTACCACCCTTGGACCCGCCCTTCCCTTTTCCTTTTGTCCGCCAGGAGGTAGCCGAGGCTGGTGAGGTAGCATTGGATGAAGATCCTCCTTTGGACGGCGAGACATTTCCTCCATCAGTCAAGGCGACAATGGGAAGGTACCCTCGAGCTGTTTTGAGTTCTTGGAAGCGACGACGGGCATCCGTGTAGGAGGCGAAGGCAGCATCATAGGCAGCAGCCATCTGTGAAGGGCTGTTGACCTCATCATTGTCGGGCCAAGGTTCTTCTTCACCATAGTAGCCAGCGTCGTGGTCAAAGTCCTGGCCATCGTCGTAGGCCTCATAGTCATGGCCTTCTTCAGCCCATTGTTCATCCTCCTCATAGTATCCAGCTTCCCAACCGTCATCATCTGGATACGCCTCGTCCTCATAGTCATCAGCCATGTAGGCTCTCTGCTTCCAGGAGTGTCCACCACCATAGCGGCGATTCCGCTCAGCATTCCAGCCTCCTCCCTTGTAGTCCTGGCCAAGGATCAGGTAGAGAGCCTCAACCACCGCGTTCTTCTCCAGGTCTGGTGCTTTCAGGGTGATGAGTTGTCTTTGCTCTCTTGAGAGGCCGGAGCGACGAAGAAGATGCCAGCCTTGAACCGAAGCTGGAAGCTCAATGCGGTGCTGTTGCAACTTTCTGTATGCTTCTTCATGGTCGGCCACGTACAGCAACAACGTCTGGCCAGGGGAGCGCTGCAACAGATTGAAGTATGCTTCAAAGTCCGTGGGGAGCTGTACCTTGGCGTCATAGGAGAAGTTGGCATCTAAAGTTTCGATGACCTTCTTGAAGGCGTCTTCTTTCTCCAGTTCGTCGATGCCCCAATCTTGGAACAGGCGCCAGGTAACTCCAGTGAAGGAGCCCACGATGTTCAGCGCACTTTCATTGGCCCTCTTGGTCAAGGACATCTTCCGGTGGTAGAGCTGGATTCTCTGCCTCCATTCTCTGTAATCGGCCGGTTGGCCGGTGAAGACTGGCACGTAGCTGTCCCTCAGGTCCAGGTAGGAGGTGCCATCTTGTGAGCTCGATCCCGATGCCGGCGGCTAGTCTTTCTTCTGCCCGTGAGGTGGCATGTAGCTGTTCACAGGGACAAAGGGCTCTGCCTGGATGTGGTGAACAGGTAGTGGATGGATCCACCAAGCGAGAGCGAGAACTGCTAATGCCAATCGTGCCGTCGGTCTCAGCCGGGGTGAGGAGCTCGTGGTCGCGTAGATCTCCGGTAGGGAGCCCGCAGGCTCCGCTACCAATGTCGAATTGGTGTAGCGGCTCACGAAGTCCACTGCAAGGAAAAAGTGGTGCACGAACGAGTTCGAAACACGGGTGGCAACCTAATGCCGCGGCCGCAGCTATTTTGCGCTTTGAGCCCGCCCTCTGTCGAGCGGATGTCTAAGGTCCAGGCCAAAAAGAAACATGACATGACATGTCAACTTGATGTTCAGCGAACATCTTCACAACTATACTTGATTGTGAAAAAGGAAAAACACATGTATTTTATGACTGTTTTTTGAGAGAACATTGAAAACCAATACATGTATTATCTTAAATGCACGATAAACACTAGTAGTTTCATTATATATATATATATGTATACATATATCTGTGCCACGGTCTCTGACCTCTTTTGTCCCGCTTCAGGCCACCTGCCTTGGCGTCTCATGGACCAAATGATATCCGAACCCAGGGCCAACTCTTCGATCTCTGTGACGCAAAGATGCTGGCTGTCCATCAAATCCACGTGCCATTCGATCCTGAAAAAAGGTGATGCTCCAATCAATTGGACCATCCCCACACAACCGTAATTGTGTACGGGGTGTCAAGGGGTGTTGGGAAAAGAAATGTCCGAAGCAGTGTCCAAGGATCTTGTTGCAAGGTGTTTTCATCAATCGATAGGTCAAATGCTCTGTAGCATCCTCCTGTAAGGACAACGGAGCCAAGCTCGCCTCTGGGACCATCACCACAGCACTGTCCTTCAGCAAGTGCCGGAAAATGCCCTGTAAGTAGTGCTGGGCATCATCTGCTTCTAAGGGCCTGAAAAAAGTGTTTGTGATGTTGTCATGAAACAGCACGTTGGATTGTACCGAAAACATGAAATGATGTCTCCTGAATTGATTCAGATACACATGAACATGGTGCACTTCATCAGAAACCGTACCAGGCAGTTGCAAAAACGGAATCGACCCCTGCACTAAAAATCGTTCACGATGGCACCCAGTGGCACCGGGTGCCATGGCCTTTTGGCAACCAGGGCCTCCGTGCTCCATGGCCATCGAGCCAGCTCAACTGTTGCAGCTGGTCCGCTTGGACTTGGACGCCACCGAAGGCTTCGTGGGCAAGCGCCAGGGTCGTGAAGCTGGACTCCTGTCGGAAGTAGAAGGTGTACCTGTCCTACCTGGTCTCCTACCCCAAAACGTGTCTGCAAGGTCGAAATCATCTCCAATGATATGGGACATGTTGTTCCACAAACGCGTCCCGTTGCCAATCTTGTTTATCTCATTGGCAAATTGGTAATTTGCTCATCTCATATGATCTCACAACATATTGTCTTGATTTAATCACCTTTGCTCATATGGTGCCTTCATCCCGTATCACCATAGACTTCCTCTTCCAAAGGCTCATCTCTTCTTCGTGTGCTCATAGACCCCACTGAATACTCCCACTTCGCAGCACATTCCAAGTTCCTTATTACCTTTACTATAGACAAGAGCCGTAGCATTCATCATTTCTCTCTTTAAACCAGCGGTGGGGTTTCCCAAGCGGCCCGAGCTGACTAGAGGCACAGGAGATGATAACCCTGTGCCGACATGAAACGTCGAAATGTCGGCTGCACAACACCTGGGTCTTTATGCGTATAATTCACGTAGTACCAACACACTATTTCTGATCTCATGCACAGTATGCCCTTTCGCACCACTATTCTCCTCGGCATTGGGCCTCCATTGGTTGTGTCATGTCTCAAAATCAAGGAGCTCAAAAAAAAATTAACTGGTTTTGGTCAACCACCTGTTCTTCCACTACAGGGTTTGGGTGGTTCTTACATTGTGCAACACACACATTGAGTCCGAGTTGTGAGCGCTGGTCGTTAACCTATGCAAAACTGTTGCTGGTGGTTCTGTGGTCGTTTGAGCTTCGTTGGTTGATCCATGGAACACCCACCAAATAAACATGATTATAGTATAATACCAAATGGACTTTGACTCAGAGTCCATGATTTATGGTTTGGCATGTACCTCTGACACACAACCCAGCATTTTGAGATTAGTAAAAGAAGGAACTTCCATCGTGGCCAAATTCTGTCTGGCTGTGATGGGATGTGTTGGGTCTGAGGTCTGACGCGCGAGTGAACAGAATCGAGATCCTCCCCGAGTCTTCCGCACCTCCACATTCTCTTTGACAACTCTCCTGTACTTGGGCTGGATGATGTAAGACTTGTGTCCTGTGGCATGAAGGTAGAACGCACAAACACACAAGTTGAAAGTCTACAAACCAGAAGCTGGGGCACAGGGATAAGATGCATGGCGGTTCTGAAGTTTCCAGGTCACAAGAAATAAAAACACCCAGTAAAAGAAAGAGTTCTTTATCTTTACCTTCCCACAAGTTGTACTATACAGTGAATTGAAAACAATTGAAAACCCGTATTCACTTCCCATGGCCTTTGCCGCGGCCATGATGGCCGTGGTACTGTCGATGCGCGAGATCAGCCATGCCGTCCACAAAGCCGAGTGGAGCGGAGCGAGGAAAGCAGCTTTCTGTGACCAAATGGCTGCGCAGTGAAACAGGGTTAAGTTTTGATATACACACACGCACAGATACATGTATATAAATAGTATATGTGTGTATGTATACATATATATATATAAGTATATATATATATAGCAGGGCCGGCTTGACAAGCTCCATTTTCGAGTCTCGATTCTCGATTTTCAACCCTCGATCCTTTTCCTCGATTACTACTGCTACTACTACTACTACTACTGCTACTACTGCTACTGCTACTACTACTACTACTACTACTAACTACTAACATCACTAACTACTAACTACTAACTACTATCTACTACCTACTACCTACTACTTCCTACTTCCTACTTACTACTTACTACTTACTACTTACTACTTACTACTGCCTACTGCCTACTACCTACTACCTACTACCTACTACCTACTACCTACTACCTACTACTACTACTACTACTGCTACTACTACTACTACTCTTACTACTTACTACTTACTAATTACTACTTACTACTTACTGCTACTTACTATATACTTACTACTTACTACTTGATACTTCCTACTTCCTACTTCTACTACTACTACTACTGCTACTGCTTCTGCTACTGCTTCTGCTACTGCTACTGCTACTACTGCTACTCCTACTACTACTACTACTACTACTACTCCTACTGCTGCTGCTGCTGCTGCTACTGCTACTGCTACTGCTAAGGGGTTGAGTCTATAATTAATAGTATGTAAATATACTTGAGGCCAAGGGGGGGGCGAAAGCTAGCGCTCCAGAATGGGAAAGTGGAGGGCAGCGAGGTAGGAAAAAACATGGTGCTCTTTTTGGAGGCAGTCAAGGAGACGTCGCGGTGGCATCGCAAAGATCCACCTGCAGAGCGGACTGTCGGAAGTCTGCGGGGAGGGTTGTCAGAGGCTGCAGAGCGAGTGCGGCCGCAAGATACGCAACGCTAACCGCATGCCAAAGAGCGACGACAGGACGGAGTCGAACGTGCGAAGAGGGAGGAGGGAAACGATTCCAGGTGAAGAGTCCTATGTGGCTCTTTGCCCGGATCCTCCTGAGAGAGAAGAGAGAGAAGAGAGACGGAAAGACGAGAGACAGAAGAGAGAGAGAGAGGAGAGAGAGATGAGAGAGAGATGAGAAAGAGATGAGGGAGAGATGAGAGAGATGAGAGAGAGATGAAAGAGAGATGAGAGAGATGAGAGAGAGAGAGAGAGATGAGAAAGAGATGAGGGAGAGATGAGAGAGATGAGAGAGAGATGAAAGAGAGATGAGAGAGATGAGAGAGAGAGAGAGACAGTGAGAGTGAGAGTGAGACTGAGACTGAGAGTGAGAGTGAGAGAGTGAGAGGGAGGGGGGGGGCGGGGGTTTCGACCTGAAAAATCAGGGGTTAGGATTTGCACCCGGTCGAAAGAAACCTTGCTATCGCAAGAGTAACTCCAGCTAGCTTCGCTAGCTTTCGTGATATATATATATACACACACACATCCAGAGAAAAGGATCACGCCGAGGCTAGCGCTCTGCCACATGAGCGAGTCTCACAGAGCTCAGGCACTCAACTCGACCATCCGGGAAAAAAAGACTGGAGATGGTAAAGCGCTGCACGATGCTCTTTTGCAAAAATGATGGGTGAAGCAAGCTATAAGAGGCACTTCCAAAAGTGCTGCACCTTGTGACAGGCGCTCAAGCTTGCATGTGATGCCTGTGATGCACGCATTTTTGCGTCTAAACCACAAAAATTGTATGACCTTTGTGAGACGATGTCTGACGACTCATTCATCGGCGGTGCCTTGCACATCGGTATTTGAACAAACCACTCCTTGCCGCGTCTGCTCAACCCCCACCTTGCCGCAGCATGTTCATTTCGTGGTCCAGAGTGACTATTCGCATCCCATCCTCCACAAGCGACCGATCCACGTCGATCTTCGGGAATCCAAAAAACACCGTACCGTGCATAAAGAACCAGAACAAAAGAAAAACGGATCCCCAAACCGACAAACGCGTCGCACTCCTTGACCGGAGTGTAACAGGTCTTGACGCGCTTGCCTTGGTGCAGTGCCTGGCGGGTCCCAGGTGTGCGGTGCACGCCGACGCGGTTCCGGGCCGGTGCCCAAACACCCGACTCCCACGAGTCGCGCTCCTCGCAGGCGCCACAAATGCCGGCGCGGCCTGAAGCGGCTCTGCGGTGCGGCACGGCGGTGCGGCACGGCAGCTCGAACAAAGGATCATCTTGGTTTGTTAGTGAAAAAAGAAACATGAGTTGGATTTCGGTGTTCCTTGGACCCATTCGACAGGTACATTGGTACATTGGGTCTTTGGTGAATTTCACACACTCCACATGGACACGGTCGCGGAGGTTTCTGTGAACTCTCCGTCCACGTCAACCTCCGGGAACATGTGCGGGCGCGTGTCACTTATCGGACCCTTGGCAGGAGATGATTCTCTGCGTGGGGTCCAGTCCAGCCCAAAAACTCAACTTGGAGACCGAAGACTCTGACCCACATGAACAGAAGTACCAGGGGAAACGGAGGCTCGAGGTCGTTTTATGACCCACGGTCAGCTCGAGGTGTCAGCTCCGGTGCGTCTTCTCTTTGAGGCGTCTTCCGGGCCCGGTGTCTGCTCTGGGCGCTCCGTGCAGTTGAAGGGGATGCGCATCGCGAAGTCTTTGATGGAGGACTCAGTCAACGAAGTCTGGCGAAGTCTTGGAGAAAAACGAAGAAATCTGCCTCGAGAATGGTCTGCTGCGAGAAAACCATCTTGGTCTCGTTGTTGATTTGGACCTGGACATGTACAGCGCTTGCAGATGCTTGCAGCAACGCGGCACAGCACTCTCCCACCAAGCCATGCATGAGATGAAGGGATTTACAGCCGCAAGACTTGCCACTCTTTTGCTCCGCGGGATCACACCGGTCCCCAGCTCTCTTTGCCTCAAGGCACAAACCGCTCCGGTCGCCCCAAAAACAACGGCTCCGGTCCGGCTTCTCCTCACGCAAGATCTCCGCGCTCCACCACCGACGCGCCGTCCGCGCAGTCCGGGTGGGAACGCCCCCGGGTGGGGTCGGAGGAGGACTCAGCGGCGCCTCCGTTTGGCGTTCACCGCACCTGCACAGAGCCGGTGAAAGTGCACAGCTCATGGCACAGTGGATTTGGGTGAAAGAGCAACAACCCCTCCAATCTCTCCCCGAACATGTGAAGTGGAATTGTCTTCCCGAAAGCCGCACCGTCTCCCCTTCCTCAGGTGGTCCCCGGTCTCGATCGAACTTCGGACGGCCCCGGTCGCGCCCCAACCTGAGCGCTTCGATCGCTTTGCCCCTTGGAGGGCTGAAGCCACCGATTCCTTGAGCCCTTTGGCTCGCGTCTTGGCCTGCCGGGTCTGCGCCCAGGGCGCTGCGAAGTGAATCATGTGAAATCATATGTGAAATCCATGAACGGAGAGGTCTGAGTCTGGAAGTGCCTGAAAATGCGCTCCGTGCAAAAAAAATACCTCTATATGAGAAACTGGACTCTCGGGATCTGGCCTCTTCGTACTCTTGCAAAACTCCTTTGCGACGTGTCAGAGATGCGAAACTCCTTTGCGTTTCGGAGGTGCGTTTCGAGTCTGTCGAGGTGAAGAAGCGAAGCGGCCTTTGCCCTTTCCAGCTCCTGCAGGAACAGACAACGAGTTTGAAATGCAAGGCAGCGCGGGACTCCTCGCATGATCTCACCAAAGTCCGAGGCAACCTAGGCCAAAACAACTCAAAAAAAGTGTTTGCTTGACAGACAAGCTTCGTCGTGCATTTGGTTTCCTTCGTTGGGCCCTGTTTCCAAGGGGCTGGCATCAAAGAGAGACACGGCACCACCAGATGTTGCATGCCCTTCCCTGGCACCACTAAGCTCGCAAACAATCTAAACATATCCAAACGACATCAAACGACGCATTGCTCACTTCACAGCAGGGCCCTCACGACCGCCTCGCCCGAAACGCTCCGGAACAGCGCCACATGCCTCAAAGCTTGCTTCTGTCGCCGCAGCTCGGCCTCTGAAGACGGTCTCTTCGTCGCTTGAGACGGACTGAGGACGGCCGGCGGCCCCTTCTGTATAGCCAGGTTGTGCCTTCTTGACTTTGACACGCTGCATGGTGTCCTCTTCGAACCTGAGACAACTTTCTTCCTTTTCTCCTTCTCCTTCTGCTTCTGCTTCTCCTTCCCCTTCCTCTTCTTCTAATTATTATGGTATTATTATTCTTATTCTTCTTATTATTATTCCTTCTTTTTATGTCAAGTCGGAATAAAAACAAAAAAAGAGCCAACTCCGCCGGTCCTGTTTTCTCTGAGGCTGCTGCTCTTGCTGTTCCCGAAGCATGCGAGTGGCTTTCTCCACACCTGAGCCGTGGAGCGGTCGCAAAGCTTAGGATCCTTGGGGTTCTCAAACCAAGCATGGGTCAAAACTGTGAGGACCTTGACCACCAAAAATGAACAGAATAGACTACAAGGCAGGTCAACCCACCAGGGTTTGGAGCTCCAGGTTCTGACCCACAGCCATGTTAATGTCGTGACCCCAGGGAAGCAACTGCTGGAGAACTTGGAGATGGCAAAGTTGGGACATCGACCAGAGGTGAGTTCCGAGCTTTTGGACATCCTGGACGACTGCTTCGAGAAGCACCAAACGGTTTCTGCGGTGAAGAAACTGGGCCCCCCCACGTGCGGACCGCTCCTCCGCCATGATCTCTCGCGGAGCATCAGTAAACTCCTCACAGTAAAACCATGTAAAACCAATATATTTTAGACGGTTGACAAAGAGGTTGTTCAATCCAAGTGGGATGGTCTTATGAACCAGCAGTCTACACTAAGAAGGGTCTGTGCTGTTTTTGTCGGTATCAATCTGTGGTTTCCCGGACGACCCACTTGTGCCAAACAAGACAACAAAGCCTATCCCACAGGTTTTCGCACAAAGAACGTCCCCAGCACCAGCCTCACGCAAACTGCGCATAAACTCACTTCGTTCCAGTCGGGCCTCGATCGTGTTCTTTGAAATACAAACGGACTTGGCTCTCGTGCGTCGCGCTGAAAAATTGTTTCAGCCACAAAAGTACTCAAGCCCCGCTTTGCCGTGGTTCGGCCTTCTTTCTGTCCAGTTCTTTCTCTGCGCGTTCCTGGGCCACGAGAACGGCGCCCTCTCGCATGGCAAAAAGACCGAAAGACACACTGCCCACACCCAAAGCTCCAACTTCCAAACAGTCCTGCATAGAGATGTGATCTCCAGTGTACTCCACCTGGCCATTTTCTGCGATTTTTCTGGCAAACGGTACAAGTGCACACGAGGTGGCAAAATACAAAAAAACAAAAAGGAAAAACGATGTACACCCTCTCATCTCTTTTCATGTCTCTCCTGTCTTCCATTCTTCCAAAACAAAAACATTGCCTGGGAGATCTTGGGCGGCTTGTACGCTCCCAAGTGGCCCTCCTCGTCCTTAGGGGCCGAGGCAAGTTCCTCCGCCTCCTGGGCGTCCTCGCGGGCAAAACACGAAGAGAAACTCAGGAGGTTTGACAAGTTGTGAAGCAAAGAACCTGGCAGACTCAATGTCTAAAACTAGGGATGGAAGTTGAAAGCCGACTGCTTAAGTATGTGCAAGTCACTAAATCTATCTATATGTACGTATAGACTGTTGGTATATGTTAATATACCATGGACCATATACCAAAATATTCCACACTACAAAGTTCTCAAAATTTTCAAAAGCCATCGAAAAGATTGCTTGCACATCTTGGATCTGAATCGTTTTGGCTATCAAAACAACCGGTGACCTCTGGCTCTTTTGAAAGCCAAAGCTAGATTGGACACCCAAACTCCACACTTCATTACTTTTCCACTTGCACATGAAGGTGTGCACAACACGGTTCGGTTTTTGAGCGCTGCTGTACTCAACATGCCAACGCGTTGCGGATTCACAGGTGCACATGATCAGCTCAAACAAATTCCGCGCTTCGTTAATTTTCCACTTGCGTGTGATGGTGTACCAGCAAAATGAACATGCCAAACACTTGAAGGAATTCTCGCTTTCACGCGCGTGGAAGCTCGGTGCAAAAGCTCAGGAGGCAGCTCGCAGACGACAACAACAACAACAAGATCATCATCTCGCGTTTGTCAGGTCTAGGAATGCTCAGGTATGAAATGGCAGCAACCTCTTGGGCGCAAGCGCCTATCACACGATAGCTGGCCCAACGGCCTCTCCTCATCACAAGGTCACAACTTCAGTTATCTGAATTAAAAGAATAGCGCCTGGAGGCTGCCCAAATCGAGAGCCTTAACGTCTTCGTAAGTAGCCAGCGGCAGCTATAACGCTTGCGCCACCGAGCGGAAGGAGGTTCTCAAAGTCTGGCTGCTCGTGTCCCACAACTTTTCTGACGGCCTCAGGTCCTTGAAGGCAATTTCGGTAACTTGAATGAATCATATCGGGGATGCCCAGCTTTGAGCGTGGACACCGAGCCGCGGTGAACCTCATCTCCTGATCAAGCATGCCAGTACAACAAAAGGGGCTGTAAAGCCATTCTCCTCTCCGCGCATTTGTCGACTCACCTACCCCCAAAAACGCCACCAAGCCAAAGCAACGCATCCTGCAAGTCCAGATCCACCCCGCAAAAACAGCAGAGCAAAAAAAAAAAGGTTCTTCCAGCTTGAGATGGAGGGAGTTGATGGTCTCCGAGAAGTAGTTGAGCAGGTGCCTGACCTGGTAGAGTTCTCGACCACAAGCAGGTGAGGATGGCATTTATCTTCTCAATGCAAGTCCAGGAGAGTGCCGGAGGAGAGAGCAAAACCCAAAAGAGAGAGAAGCAAAACAAACTCCTCGCCAGGTCCTGTCGAAGACCAGTCCGACTAGACAAGGCTTCGTCGTGACTTGGTGCCTGTTTCCCACAAAAACCCAAAAGGTTTTGATTTTGCAGTTTCGGGCGGCGTTAGAAGCACTTGCAATTCGGCAGAAAGAGCGCCCATGTGGGAGAACCCATGGAACGGGTGGGCGGGAGATTCCGGCTTCAAAACCAAGCAGACTCATTAGCCACACCAGAATCGTGGGGAACAAATCGCAAATTTCGAGACAGCCAAACCAGCGACTTCTGCTGCTATTAGCGTGAAAAAAGCAACAGGCGCTTTGTAGATTGCAATTTTTCATGGGCCACACACGCCTGCACACACGTCACGTTCAAGAGTATAAAGAAACTGTTTTATTCAAGCGACATCTTAAGATCTTTCCTTTTCTATCCCTCGGAGGCCTCGAAGAGTTCATACGTTTCAACCGTTGCTGCAGGAATTCCAGCCAGAGCTGGCGCTGGGCAAGTCTGACTGCATCTTCTGGGGGAGCCGGCAGAGGTGGTTGCCCCTAGCTTCGAAATCTATCAGTGGCCGGCTGCCAAGGGTGGTCAACGCAAGCAGCAGGTCTGGCAGCCTCGGAGGGAAATGCCACCACCTGCTCTGCCGGGGCTTGGCCTCCAGCTAGGACCACCAAAGACCTTAGTTTCTCAAGGCACAGATCTCACTCTGCATCACTTGATAGGCAAGTCTACTAAGTTCTACAGTCTCTGGGTTGACGCTCATCTTGTTCGGTTGAAGCTAGAGAAGCCTTGGAGCCGATTCACAGTCCTTGATGGCGAGGTGAAATCCAAGCTCGAAAGTTCGGAGAGTGCCAAAGAGCGAGGAGGCAGAGAAGGAAGAAGAAAGGACCAAAGGAGCCACGATCGAGGAGTGACAATGGGGCGGACAGGCAGGAAATGCCGTGGCCTGCACAACCGAGGTGATGAAGCTTGAGAACGTGTTGCGGATTCGCAGACACACATCAATCAATCACTCTGAAACAAAGGAAGCAACGGTTGCTTCATGGATAATTATCCGATCATATACATACATATATGAAAAACTGCTTGAACAAAAACGTGGTGGAGGGTGAAACACACCAAACCATGTATATATATACATATACTTCACTTCACTTCACTGCGCCTTCGCAGCTCCATCTCTGCCGCACCTTAGTGAAACCTAGCTCCACGGCGAGGATATATACATATACACACATATAGTTAAAAAAAGAGTTCTTTAAGTATATATCGCATTATATATATATATATGTTGCATATGCATGTTGTTGGTTTGTCTTGCTCTGCGCAAGATTGTTACGACTCACCGATTTGAGTTCTTCCACCCGGCCGTGGCCATTCCCACGGCCTCGGCATCTTCATCCTGCACTGATGCCACCAGCTGACCAGGCCGCAATGCCTCGGTGTGAAGGAATCCGAAAGCATCGGATCTCGAAATGTTCTGAATTCTTCAAAAAGCTTTCCCATGAGAGGTAGAAGTCCACAAAGAGAGAGAGAGAGAGAGACAGAGAGAGAGAAAGCAAAAAAACAGGTTCAACATTGAGATCTCCTTCATTGAAACCTGCGACCCCGTGTCCAACGCTCGGGTGGCGGACATGAGCATCCGTCGATCCTGGTGCCACAGGCGCGATCGCCACGCTGCGCGCCAGCGATCGCCACGACATCGCGCTGTGGTCTCAGGAGAACATCGTTCGCCCCAGTGGAGGCAAACGATTCGATGCCCCGCCCTTGTAAACAAAGAACTTCCGCAAACCCAAAGGAGCGAGCTTTCGTGAGAATTCGTTCTTCTCCCATTCCAAAAATTTGAAACACTGTTGCAGTTGTTGCTTCATGGCCTCACGAGGAAAAGAGCGTTCAAACCCAGAACAAAGGAGTAGCTGCAGGCTGAGTAAACTGGAGGTCTGCTCCTGCAAGCTGCTCCGCGGCTTTGGCATCTTTCCACTGCAAGAGTTTGTTCATCTGATACCTCAGACCAATAAGAAGGATGTTTCAGGATGTCTGATGAGTGATAGACTACGCTCATGAAATGAGTTCACTCGAACCCGGCGCCTATTTTGCCCTGTTTGACCTGACAACGCAGCGCACCCCTGGACCGAGTCGGATGGACGGAGACTTTGGACCGCGCCCGTTCTTCGCCCAGCGACTGCAGGCGTTGATCCACGGGCTTCAGCTTCTCAATGAGCGTTCGGATCCACAGCAAGCGCAGCCTGGTAAACAAGACGCAGGACGTGCAGGGCGAGTACGCCGTAGGACCTGTAGAACCACAGGTGTCACAGGAGCCTTTGGTATTGAAATCAATTGCTGATGATTGATCAGAGCTCGCAAAGAGATCAAAAACACAGCTCATGGCCTAATGTTTTTATGCCAAATGTCCTTTAACCGAAGGTCACTTGCCGAAGCATCCGGTCTCCTTCGCCCGGTCGGTCCTCGGTCTCTGAGGCTCGGGCACCACGGGGTGGTCTCGCAGCGAAACACCTGCGTCGCCGCGTCGCCGTTCGAGACCGACCGAAGGCGGAACGACCGCGGAGCAGCGGTGCTCGGCCTTTGACCTTGAGCAAAAGATAGTAAGTCAAAGAGATCAAGTAGCTCAGCAGCAGCTGAACCTGGGGAGGCCAAGGCGGCAAGGGGAAGGACAAAGGGCAGGACAAAGTTCAAGAGGATGAGAATTGAGTTTCGACGTTTGCACTTGCAGTGCTGATGAGGACTCTTGCTGCTGTCACACATCACTGGTTGTGGTCCACCTCTAGAAATAGAGTTATCATTATCATTTATTGTCATTTATCTTTTCAAGGGTGTGATTTGTGGGTGTACAATGCCACCCTGTGGCAATTTTGGCCATCCCCCAGAATCGTGTTCCTCAGTGATCTTCAGTGATGTTCACTCAAAAAAAATGTTTGTTTTTTCGCGACGAACATGTCGGTTCTTCCCAAATTGACGAACTTCAACCACCACCAGCAGCATCTCGCGGGTGGCAAGGCCAACCAAACGGTCGGCAAGAATGACCGCTCCCAGACTTCTCACCAACTTGTACGGCCAAACCAGGCGAGACTAAGCACATCTAAGCACATCCAGATCAGACTGGCCTTCATCTCTACATACGAGGCAGGCGCTTTGGAAGCCTCTCCACCAACTCAGAAAAATGGTGCCAGCAACACGGTGGCAGTCACATGTTCCAAAAGAGGAAAGCAACAGGTTTGCCATGGTTTGCCCTTACCTGTCCTTTCTCATTCTTCCACTGGCCAAAATGAACAGCAAGTGCCTTTCGAGGCTGGTTGGCCCGTTGGACGCATTTCTCCTCCAAAACAGCAGCCTGAGGTGTCAGAATGTCAGGAGAAAAACACAAACTGCGAAAACAAATTTGATATTTTAGACAAATCCTGAAAACAAGTCGCAAATGCCTCACATGACAGCTGCAATTATGGCAGGACGCTGGAATTTCTGTCGTGACTGGGTGTGCAGATCTGAGTCAAGTTGCATCTTTCTGCAGTGTGGTCAGCTTCTTCCGCATGTCTTTCAAGGCCTTGGCAGCAGGGCGGGCTCTCGACTTGGAGATGGTGATTGGTCAAACATGTCCAAATGATTGATCCCTGAAGCCTGAATCCATCCAAAATTGCAAAAAGAAATGATGACCCTCAATTATGCTATCTCATCAAATCATCAGAAATTGGAGTCAATCGTCATACCAGGGAACGTTGGCCTTCGGCCTTCGGTCTACGTCTTGGGGAACCCGTGCTTGCAGCAACTCGGTGCATTCGGTCGAACTCACTGAGCAATCTGGGTCCTGTCGATGCGAGACGTGTCGCGGTGAGACCGAGCCAACGACCCGGGGCCGAAGGAGGAACCGTGGAGTCCCTTTCTTCGGGGTCTGAGAGAAACCGTGGAGGGGGGAGCATCTTAGGACGTTTTAAAAGGTCTCCAGCTGTTCTTTGAAGTGGATCACTCCTCTTTTCGGGGTCAAGACTCCCAAGTATGGTCTTTTCATGTCTGGTCAAAGGGGGATCACCTTGAGCTTTCGTTGCCAGAGATCTCCCAGCTGTTTGCACCTCAACCCTTTGGACCTCCAGTTCCGGGGATCTTCGCTTCGGCCTTCGCGGCCTTCGCTTCGGCTTTGCGCGCGTGGAAACGCGCCGCGCCCTGGCCTTGTCGCAATGGAAATGGAAGTCCAGCTGAGCCAGGAGCTCATGGGCCTTTTCCTGTGAAGAACCCAAATTCCTGTTCTTCTTCGATGTGTGACGTTCTTTTTTCATGCGATGCCCACACAAAAGCATGCAAAGACATTCGGATGCCAAGTGGTCTTGCATCGTTTGTTGAACAACAAGTCGCACCACAAACGGACCGGCCCCATGCGACCTCTCTGGGATCCCCCTCCGGGTACGGTGCGAAAATCACACCCCCGGCCTCAACGGAAAACCCAGCACTCTCCGCGCTCTCCGCGCTCTGCTTGGAGGCTTTTTGATCCAGAAGCCTTGAACCATCGAAGCAACCCATCTGACGGGTCTGAGAGAGCTGGCTTGGCCAAACAAAGTGCACCATTCTGTATCAGAACCTGTTTGCTACAGCTCTTTCAGTGGGAAAAAAGGTTCTCAAAAAGGATCAAAAAGGTGTCTCCTGCCCTGGAGGTTGGAGCAAACAACTGGAAACGAAAGAAGTTGTTTGGACAAGAGAAGTTATGTCAGTGAGATTCTGGACTGTGGTAGTTGTTACCAAACTTTCGTCCTCTTGAATGCCTTTCCGGTTCGACTTTGCCACAATTTGTCAAACAAAATGAAGTCCTATGGTAGTTTTATGGAGGAAAAGGCTTGAAATGCATGATTCTAACAAGGCACTCCTTTGGACTTCAGAGAACCACCGTCCGGGACGCACGGGCGGCAGGACAAAGGTGGGTCACGAGCCTGTACTGTACATGACCGGGGATGTTCGGGGTGGAAACCGGCGGAATTCCATGGAGAAGTCTGAGAAGTCATGTCAGTGAGAGTCTCGAGTGTAGTGGTTACTAGTATCCGAACGGACCTTGTCCTCTTGAAGTAATTTTTCGCATGCATGGATTGCGGAATGTACACGACGCACCCATCTTCCTCTTCTACGAACCTGAAAGCAACTCCGTTTGAAGAGGAACAAAAACAGGCCTCGTGCTTCGTCGCTTGGCAGCGCGAACCATGTGGTTATGTCCACAGTGACATGGTCCAAATCCAAGCACCTGAAGCCTGAAACCCATTTTGCCTCGTGGAGATTCGTGGAGTCTGTCTTTCTCTGCTCTGGCTGTGAACATTGGCGAGCAAATTTGGACCCAAACTGGAATGCTGAGCTCAACAAAGCATTTGACAGCTCAGCTGTGCGGAGCTTTTTGCAGAGTGGGGAGACGATGAGATTCTGTTCCGCCGGACAAAGCACTGAAACTCGCTTTCATGGTCTCTGTTGTTTGTCAAATGGTCTGCTAAGCAAAGCACCTTGGTTGTGTGAGCCAAAAGGTCTCACCACAACACGCGTTGTCGTGAGTCAGTCATGAGTATCAACTCCATTCAAATCCAAGCAACATGCAGGTGGCTCAAGGTAGCTAAAAGCTTTAAAAATAAGGTCCCCAAGTCGCCAAATCCATCCAAATCCTCTGAAAAAGGGATGTTTCACTGAAAGGCTAGAGGTGTTTCACTCTCAAAAGGAAGAGAGAGAGAGAGAGAGTCTCACATCGGTCCATCACGACGGGCCTTGACCTGCCTCGGGGGGGATCTTCTTGAGCTGCGCCTCACCGGAAGACCGGAGTGGACGCACTGAGTGAAGCGAAGCGTCAAGCGACACCAACACGAGTGAACCGAGCAGTTTGGGGGAAAGGAGCGACTTTGGGAGCGCAAGTCTACTCCAGCCTGCATCGCGGCCCGCTTGGGATATTTCAGCAAGGCTATTTTCATCTTGTTCGCCTCAGCGAAAAGCGGCCCAAGAATCCAAGAATGCACCCGCTGGAACATCTGTTTGCCAAAGTTCCTCTCCGTGGTTTCGGGCATCAACTTTCTGGTCGTATCAATGTCTATAATCCCAACATGGCGAATCATGCGCCAAAGCCACAACCCATCATGACGAATGACCACGGTGGACCGCATCAACTAGGCCGTGGGCGGTTTCCGTCGACGACATGGCGGGCAATCTCCGTTCAATCCGTTCCAACGAGTCCTGTGGCTCCAGGTTTTGGGCAACAAGTTCTGGACGGTGTGGCTTGTGATCGTGGCCTCCATATCTTTTGGTGGGACCTTGTGAATCATGACATGGCTGGGAAATTCGATGAACTTTTTAAGAGAATGGATGCCCGGGACAAAAAAGAAAACGTTGCGTTTGGCACCAATGTACATATTCTGTCCAGAAATGGACCCTTTTTGGCTCTTCAATGGAAACCCCATCTTGGAGCTCTTCGGAAAGCTTTTCCTTCAACGCTTTTATTCATGGCATGTTGGAAAATAGAACCTGAACGACAGGGTGGCCCGAAAGTACTGTGGGAGTTGACACAAGGTAACGATGTTGATGGCGACCACGCTGATGATTGTGATAACAATGCTGATGGGCACAATGGCGCTAACGCAAACATAAAGTAGGCGTGACATGACATGATAGCTTCAATGTACTTGTGGGGCACTCACGTCAACACGTTTGCAGGGGATCTCTTGTAGTGTTGTGGGACGCTCTTGTGAGGCCCCTTGTGGTGCATTCTTGTGGGGCACTCTTGTAACACACTCCTGCTTGACATTTGTGAGACAGTTGCAAGGACACTCTTGTAGGCACTCTTCTGGGACTCTCTTGGATAACATTCTTGCTGGCCACTCTGGTAGGACACTCTTCTGGAAAACCGCCACGTCACTGTGACACGCCATGCTTACACACGCATGTGTCCGGCTCCCTGACGGCACGAGCCACACAAACACACTTTCCACCGAGGCCGCAAAAAACTGCATGGCACAGCCACACCACAAACGCGATTTCAACACACTGTGCACAACATGCAGCCTCGTTGACACTGCCAGTCATCCTGCTCAGAAATGATGCGACTGCTACAACATAAAGGTGTTTGGATACAGGTGTCGAGATACAGGTGTAGAGATACAGGCATGGAGATACTGGTGAAGACACCGAAGACACCTACAATTGTTACAAAAGCCACCTATATACACGACTACAACTTTGCGATCTTTCTACTCTTCCTTTAAGGTGGCGAAGATGGCCCGGCCAATGCTCCGGGAACGCGACCCTTTGCGCAGATCGCGCGCGTCGGGCCAGCGAAACTCTGGTCAAGCGCAAATGGTCTTGGGCCTGGGAGGACCCTCTGCGGGGTTCGCGCGGGGGTTCGCGCGCACGCGCGTTGCGCGAAACTGTGGCAATATGCAAATCGTCTTGATGAACCCTTTGCCACGATCTATTTCGCCCGGGCCCCCGTCCTCGCACTGTCTGGCACGGCTCGCGCCAAGCCTGTAAGCAGCTTCGACTTGAGCATGAATGGCAGCAGCAGCAGCAGCAGGATCTCCGAGCCTGTCTTTCCTGTAGCTCAATGAGAACGGGTCGACTGTCAAGTAGACTGTCACATGGACGATTAGACTCTCGGTTCGAAACAGTCCTATCTACCCGCGCTGACCCGGTGACCCATGCAGTCCGCTCTCTCTTCGCCACCAACGAGTCGAGTCCGGACAACGGAGCGACGGGCCTAGTGCCAGGACGTAAGTAAGGAAAGGATGCAACTACAACCATACCTGCCCTTCTTTTCCAATCTTGCTCCAGCGCTGAGAGGCTGATGGAGTGCTCAAGAGCGCCACAGGAGTCACATGGTCATTATCTGGCTGTGGGTCATTATCTGGCCACGCAAAGAACATCAGTATCACAGTGAAGACTGATTGGTTCCTATCTATTTCATACTTCTTTGCAAGAACCAGCACAGCGGATTCCGCGCCACCCGTGATGAAGCGGCGCTTTCAGACCGTGATGAAGCGCCGTCCGGACGTCTCAGACGTCACCGAACGCTCAATCATCCCGCAGCTCCAGCCCTTCGAGCAGCTCTGCAAGAGGCACCTCCGCTTCGCGCGACGTCGCGCGCGACGCCGCGACGCGTCGCAGACGTCCCCGAAGGGTTGCGAGTCTCGTCCCGGAAGGGCCGTCAGCTCGCTGTGACGGGTCGAGTTGGGGGCGTGTGGTCGAAAAATTAGACGCCCCCGAATGGCGACGCTAGATGGAAAGAATTTGAAAGAATATATAAAGACATTGTCGTAAGTTTATTTGCTTGTTTCATTGTGATTCCAAAGGTCAAGGAGCGCACGGAAATGGAAGGTAATGTTTAGCCCTTGCTCCTGCACTACTGGCCGCAGAAACTTCCTGGCCTCTGGAGCATCGGAATCATTGTCCTCTCAGCACAGCCAAGAATCAGACAAATACCCAAGCAGCCAAGCACAACTGCGTTCCTCATCCTCACCATCAGGGTCATCCTCCTGCCAGGGTGGACATGAAGTTCCACAGAACTGGACAAAGAACAAAATTGAAACGTGAGATGGTTGCTTTCTTATCTGTGTGTGTGTCCTCTCAAGCTCCATTGTCTTCCAACTCCAAGTCACAAAGACAACCCCACCCACCACCACATCGCCTTCTTCGTCTCGTCCTTCTTCGCCTCCGGTCCAGGCGTCCTGGCCGCGAACGGCACCGTCGGCTCAGAGCCTCCGCCTCGTCCGCGCGGCGGCGTCCTGTACATGTTGACGCCTTTCCGGAGCTCTGGATCTTCTTCCAAGTCACGCTTCAAGGCCTCACAACATGTTCGGTCCAGAAGTGGTTTAGATTCCAGAGGGGAAGGGGTGAAAACCTCCCATTTCAGGAATGGTCCCGAATCGATAGTGGCTTTTCTGCGATGATCTCAGTGAATTCCTGAAAATCTTCTCCACCGGCATCAGCACCCGAGCAGGGCGCGGTGTGGGGCCAAACATGGTATTCCCGAAGCTCTTGAAGTCGCAATTGAAAACAGCGGGAAAACTGCACATCTTTCTGACCATGTTTTTCGCAGTGAGACGCCTCTGTCCCGCCTCCATGTCAGCATCATCGTCGATGGGATCTTCACCTTCAACGGTTTCTTTGTTCAACCTCCTTAGATCCCACCTGGCAAAAGCGTGGCGTGGGACGTGTTCCATAACCATTTGAGAACTGCTTCACAAACGGATGCATGTTTTGCATCGGGCTTGCAGAACTCAACTAAGGCCCAAACGCTCTCTTCTTGTTTCGCTTGTAGACCTGCAGGCTTCGTTCATGTCTTCAGAATATCGAGCAAGAACAGGGGAGTGGGAACCAGCCATGAATCCAGTTCAGGTTCGGATGATCACTTCGCAACATCCAAGAACACGATATTTAATCGAATTATAATTATAGAATCGAATCAACTGAGACCTGAAACCCGTCAACTGATCAGGCCTTCTTCACTAAGACCACGTCAGTGCCAGGGCCCTGACGGTCATTGGCGACCACTCGGCTCAAGCTCTTGTGCCCCCAACGCGTCGCGGGGCGACAGCTATGGCCTTCAAGGCCTCGTCTGAGAGCCCGCTGACCTGAGTTTGGCCAAAACGACCAGAGGAAGCGGGATCAGCTCTTTCGATGCTTCTGATGCTCGGCTTCGATGCGCCCCTGGTCCCATTGTACACCTCCTCACCGTGTGGCCGAGGCGCATTCACCGTGCGCAGGTCATAGCCCATGACGCGGCCACCTGGCCTGGCCAGCGATGAAGACACGACGCCCAGGGGTCCCCAATGAATGGGCGCCCCTCAGGGAGGTCCCATGCTCCACCAACCAGAGTTGACACTCGTTCGGGCGCGCAACGCTCCGCACCGTTACGCACCCCTTGCCCACAAAGCGGGTGTGGTAGGGAGGCGTTGTGGAGCTTCAAATGTTCACCCATATCAGGGCCATATCTACACGTGGCTTGGCATCTGGATACCAAATGGAGGAAAACTCCGGAAAAACACAGAAAAAACAAAAAGCACCCCCCACCAATTGCAAACTAGTTCTTTTCGCGGCTCGGCGCGCGCAAAGCCAGTCGTTCGTCGCCTGAGAAATTGACCCAGATGGCTCCGGACAATCACACGGTCGTCGTTGACACCCAGGTCGCAGGCACGGGCGACCTGTGCACGGAGCCAACGGCCCCCGTCTTTTGTTCGGGGAGCCCAAAAAAAATGGATTTCGGGCGCGGTGCCCGTTTGGGGAGCGGTCCCAAGCAGCAGAAACAGGGTGATAACATCTTAGTTTAAACCCCTTGAAACCGATGTTCTCGACCCAAATCTGACCAATCACCGCCAATCTCTGGGATATCTTTTACGGTTCAAGATCGACCGTGTGTTGTTGAAACTTTTTCTCTGTGGACCAACCACAACGCAGAACAACGCATGCCAACCAGCTTCATAACATCGTTTTCTTCGTTTGCCTCCACATCAGCCAAGGTCATCTTTCCTCGTGCTGGGAGGTTGTGTCTGGCAGCGCTGCCGGCCTCGCGATAGAAACTCGACAGAAACATACAGAAACCCTTGTCAGAGACGCAGTTAGACTGCCCCATGCTCAAATAAATATCCGCCGACCCCTGCCTAGCTGACGCCTAGGCGGGGCGGCGCCGGGGACACCGCAGGGTGAAACAGTTGCCCAGGCCAAGCAGATCCAGAGCGTTTCGCCGTGGCGCCGCCGCTGCCTTTTTGCGCCCAGGCCGGAAACCCTCCGCTGCGACACTAGCCTGCAGGCTTTTGGAACGTGCCAGGCAACTGTTCTATGGGCTCCCGAAGGCAACGTGCCAGGCGACGTGCCAGGCGACGTGCCAGGCAACGTTAGGCATTTTGGCTGGCTGCACCCCCCCCTCGTTCCGACTGCTGTCGCGGGCAGAAATAGATGGCGTCGTTCGCCTACCCGGAAACTCTCCGCTGCGGCTGCATTCTGCCTATACGCACACCTCAGCCGATGGAGTTCTTCCATTCCGTCCTCTCCGTTCCTCCCGGCAGCGGGCCGTTGGCGTCGAAGCCCAGATCGCTCACAGCAATCGTGGTGGCTATCCTGCTCGTACAGCAAGCGCGAGGCACCGTGGAATGAGCTAAATTCTTATCTATCTATATATCTATCTATCTATCTACCTACCTATCTATCTATCTATCTATCTGCGACTTGCTTCAACAGTCCTTGCTGCGGACAAAAATTCGTCCACTTGCCGACCTGACATGACAGTGCATCCATCGTCTCTATCCGACAAAGTCGTCTGCGAAGAAACTGGAGGAAAACATCAGCCGCTGGCCCTTGATGGCATGTACGAGCTTGACAAAGCATCACCAACGATTTCTGATTTGTGCCAAATGTGGACACATGGTCATGGGATGCGCGCTGCATTCCTACAAGCACAAAGCATTAAATGCATTTTTGCCGACCGTCTCATGAGCCTCACTCGCCACCTAGGCCATTTCCATCCAATCGACACGCACTCCATGGTTGAATTGCCGCATTTCTATGGTCCTGGGCTTGACCTTCACTGGTCACCGTATCGCATCCAAGCCGTGATTTGTCACTTAGGATCGAGCTTGTCAGGCCACTTCAGAGCAGTCCTGAGGTATGATGAGCACTGGCTGCTATGCCAGGACAACGAAACCCCGAGGCTCACCAAAGAGCTACCAAAATGGTGCACGGAGAGATCAGTTCTCTTCTGGCTCATTCCTGTCGCTGAGGCGATGCCCTCTCAGACTGAGGCAACCAGTGATTCCGAGCTTATGTGACCCCTCACGCCACTCCAGCACCTTGGAGATGCAACCGCAGGACCTGAAGAGGCACCATCCTGTCAGGGTGCTCTAAGCCGGGTCTTACGAGGTGTCTTGGGTAGAGCCTTGGGTGATAGCAGCGAGCGGCGACTGGCGTGAAGGATGCCTGCGGCTGCTTCAAGCTGCTGCTCTGAACCAGCGCCGGCTGAGCGCTGCACCATGAGCCTAGCTGCTGCTGCGGCCTTGGCAACTGCGGCTCCTGAGAGACTTTCCTTTGTTTTCCGTGTGTCCGGATTTTTGTCTCCTGACCAGGAGGTCCAGATACACGTACCGACCCACCGACAGATCCTAGATCCCATCAGCACTGTCTGATGGAAGATGGCGCAAGCGAGGTAGACCTCCTTAGCGTGAGAGAAGAAGAAGAAGAAGAAGTAGTAGTAGTAGTAGTAGTTGTTGTTGTTGTTGTGGTTGTTGTTGTTGTTGTGGTGGTGGTTGTTGTTGTTGTTGCTTTGTTGGCCCAGCTTGGGTCGATGTTGGCGTATCTTGGGGGCTATCTGGGCATCTTAGGAGCTATGCTAGCCCATCTTGTCGCTGTGTTGGGGCTATGTTGGCCCATCTTGGGGGCTACGCAGGCCCATCTTGGCGCTATCTTGGCCCATCTTGGGGCCATGTTGGCCCATCTTGGGGGCTATGTTGGCCCATGTTGGGGCTATGTGGCCCATGTTAGCCCAGCATCCGCCCACGATGCAGACGAAGCACCCCGGCGGGCACGCATTTCCAGCGTTATTTGGGCCTATGTTGGGCCATGTTGACCCATCTTGCGCCGCAAGAGCCGAAAAATGGGGGCAAGCCATAGCTTCGGCAGGTCCGCGCATGGTCGGCGGCGGGGGCTCCTACAGAGAGGAGAGATGGCCTACGGCAAGGACACGGCCTTGGGGCTTCCCGGGCCCCCCCCTTTTGTTGGACCGCGGGGAGAATCTGCCCAACCCTCGCGACCCCCGCCCGACCCGCGCCCGAATCCAGTCGACAGATGTAAAAAATGCTGCGCTTTTCAAGGGTGGTGTCGGTTATGCGCGCCGCGCGGACAGGCTTAATCGACATTTCGTGGGCGTCGGGCGCGCTCCAACATCAATGGCGGAAAATGTCCTCCGAGATGACCTGATAGAGGCCCCCAAGATGACCCAACATAGGTCCCAGATATGGGAAACATAGCCCCAAGATGGGCCGAGATTGTCTCAAGATGTGGCCATATAGGCCCCACACAGCCTCAAAAGCAGAGAGAGAGAGAGAAGAGAGAGAAGAGAGAGAAGAGAGAGAAGAGAGAGAAG